CATTGCCTGACACATACCTTTGCATTGCCTGACACATACCGTTGCATTGCCTGGCACATACCTTTGCATTGCCTGACACATACCTTTGATCTTGCAATACCACTGTTTACGTTAACAACAATGGACAGAGACACACAAGAGATGCCGGCAGAGGACTCAGCCGAAGCAGTCGCTCCGATACGGCAACACAGCCACAGCAATGTACGGAATGGTCTCTAAATCCATCGAAAACGCTTTCTTTTCGACAGAAGAGCATGGTCAAAGTGGAGGTTTATTATTCAACCGAGATACCGTTACTAGTTCTTCAAACCTAGATAAGTTTATTGCTCAACCGAGATACCGTTAATAGTACTTCAAACCTAGATAGGTTTATTATTCAACTGAGATACCGTTACTAGTTCTTAAACCTTGATAGGTTTATTATTCAACCCAGCTACAATTACTAGTTCATTAAACCTAAAGATAGTCATGGCAGAGACTGCGTTGCTGCATTGGCAGAGACTGCGTTGCTGCATTGGCAGAGACTGCGTTGCTGCATCTGCTGGTTCTAAGGATTGTAGGCGAATCCATACGCCGTCATACCACCGTCTGTGCTGATTACTTGTCCGGTTATATAGCCCGCCGGTCCCTCCATACAGAGAAAGGCGACCATGCCGGATACCTCATCAGGCTCAGCTATACGGCCGATGGGAGTTCGGTCCAATATCGCCGCGAGATAATCCTCGTTCTGCATCACTTGCTGAGCCAAGGGTGTCCTTGTGTACCTGGGATGAAGTACGGGGATGTGAATCTATGACTGGAGGTTGGGATAAATAGCAAGCATATGATATTGTGTAACCGGTTTTGTTCGTAAACGGAAGGTTCAGCATGAAGGGTTAGAATCAAGTAGCGATACACGATCACAGATCTACCTAAGCGTAAACGCACCAGTTTGATCTAGTTGGTGCACATGCTTTTAAACGCGTAGCACACCAAGACAAGCCTGAGTGACCGTAGTAATACACGTAGCATTGAGGTCACGAGATACGGTCGCACGCGTACAGACAATTGGGAAAATAAAATTATACAAACGCAAGAATCGAACACAAAAAAACAAAAAAACAATGGGACTTATAGAGACCTACTAGACTACTATACACTGGCATATGCATTCATATGACACGAAGAGCAGACATAGTATTGCAGAGACCTACTAGACCTCTATACACTGGCATGCACATTCATATGACAAGCAGAGCAGACATAGTAATACAGAGACCTACTAGATCTCTATACACTGGCATGTACATTCATATGACAAGTAGAGCAGACATAGTAATGTAGAGACCTACTAAATCTCTATACACTGGCATATACATTCATATGACAAGAAGAGCAGACATAGTATTGCAGAGACCTACTAGACCTCTATACACTGGCATGTACATTCACATGACAAGTAGAGCAGACATAGAAATGAGAGACCTACTAGACCTCTATACACTGGCATGTACATTCATATGACAAGTAGAGCAGACAGAGAAATGGAGAGACCTACTGGACCTCTGTAAACTGGCATGTATATTCATATGACAAGTAGAGCAGACATAG